TCAAGACAAAAAACACCAGGCAATATTTTGCGAAGCTCCCATTATTCTGGTACATGTATATCTTTAAAGACATATACATTTTGAAATATTTGAGGATTTCTGCTGTAAAAGGGTAAAAAATTGGTCAATCTTATTTATGTGTATTTTTTACATAATATTTCACCATTGATGAAATAAATATACTAATTCAAACAGACTATTTCATCTTCTCCTTCCCAATGAAATGACAGAATGTGCACTACAGGGATATAGTATACGATATTTATTACGATGTTTGCCCTATTGGTCTATTCTGTGTTTTATACATCTAGGCTTACCCAGAGAGAAAGGAATTGTGTGATTCTATTATTGACACTAGCCTGTCTTCTGTCTGACAGGTTTAGGTATAGTTTGAATCTGATTGCATAAATTAGATTTGAGATTAGAATTTGCGAAAGAGGCATCAAAGAAATTTAAAAAAAAAACTGGATTATTGTCAACGTGTTTCAGGGAAAGGGATTTTCTTTAAATTTTGTATTTTTAACTTGACTCTGATCACTTATGGTTCCCAAAGCTATTTACAAATGTTTCTTGATAATGGATAATGTTTCGGTGATGGCATAGTGCCACATACATGTGTGTACAAACAAATTGTTTCGTCAAATTAGATAAGGAAGTGACTCATTATGTTGTATGAAAATCTGTATACAGAGGTTTACGGTGTATGCAAACGATCCCTGTTTTGTTATAAAATATTGTCCAATGATTTTATTGTTCAATGTGCAGTGTCATCTATTCTACACTATTGAATTCAAACTGTAGTTGCAATGGTTGTATCCATGTTTACCAACTGAAAGAGCTTGAGCTAAATGAAAGTTGCAACTTTCATCTAGAGTAAAAATCTGTTTTAAAAGTTTTCACTGAAATCACATGAATCCATACATTGCTTCATGAACAAACCAAAGAGAGGGAAATACTGATTCATATGTATTATATCTTGTTGATGTCTAGTTTTTTAATGAAGTATGTTCAAGTTTTGAGTGCTAAAAGGGAGAAAATCTTGCCTTTTGTTCATTGTAGTCAGTCAAATGCAAATGTACATGTGATTATTTCTCTGTGTGTTAAAATGAATAAGAAATGTGCCGGTATAAACATAATGTGCCATGATTGCTTGCTTGAGGAACGTTTTTTCCACACCATTGAGGATTTTTTTCTTCATATCCACCATTGCAATAGTTCATGGGTGTTTTGATATGTACTGTATACATTCATGTAATACATAGCGCAATGCCAAGGTTAAAAAAAAAACTTAATAAAGATGAAAGTATTCACAATTATGTGGAAAGACATGTGAATAGTTGCCACAATGTGTCATTACTTAACACTAATTTTCTTAGATAAATCTTTAATATGCCTATATGGGATGAACATAATATCTGGCAGCTAAATGGTAGCCTCCAAAGGGAAAGAAAAGAAATAATATTAATATTCAGTGGGCCTACTTCTGCAGTGCCAAGAATCAAAGGGATAGAGAAAGAGAGAGGGGAGAGAGACAAAAAGAGAGAGGGGGAGAGTGAAAGAAAAAGGGGGAGAGAAAAAGAGAAGGGGATAGAGAGAAAGAGAGAAAGAAAGGGAGAGTGAAAGAAAAAGAGAGGGAGAGAGAGAAGGGGATAGAGAGAAAGAGAGAGGGAGTAGAGAAAGGGGTAGAGAGAACGAAGGGGAGAGGGGGAGTGTGAAAGAAAAAGAGAGGGAGGGAGAGAAGGGGATAGAGAGAGGGGGAGTGGGAAGAGAAACACAAAGACTGAGAATTTACGAGTGTGTGTAAAGAGAAAGTGGGAGTGATTTATATAGATAGAGCCTATATGATTTGATATATTCTTTCTATCACAGAAAGAGACAAAACTAGCCTAATACCACAAATGATATTTAACAAATAGTCTAGCTCTTTTAGTCTTAATGCAAAAAAAACCCTAAAATTTCAACTCCCCTATTGTCCAAGCTGCCGCTCTTATTCTAATATTCAAGTCATCAAACATCTGTATGGGACTTGGAAAAGGGCATAAACAAAATATGTAAAGATATTTTTCACCAAAACTAACAATAAAACCCTGGTTTCTGGACGTCCCTTCCTCCAATTGCAATAGGAGCTTGTACACAATACGTATGCGCAGGCGATTTCCTGTACTACGCAAAATGGCGGCGGGCGCACTCGAGCGGTGCCATTGCGCTGCGTGAAACGTGAACGGACACAATCCTTCTACTTGGTTTGAGTTCGTTGCGACAAGGGCGTGTGCCTGTCAACTAATAACAGTATAGGCTTACTAATCAGCCTGGAGACACGTGTAGGTCAAGTTGAGATACTTCGACGTCCCACCACAGGGGTCCCCGAATTTATCATTTCCAACCTCGAAGTTGCATGCTGAACCCGAGGGTTGGCAAATGTCCGCGGCGACGTCCTCGATACAGGCGGTATTTTCCATCGTCTCTGGACGTTCGTGAGGGCAGGCGACCGGATCAGTGCGTCCGTAGATCGCGGACAGGATGCTGATGACCTCTCCCGGTGGGCATGCAATGTTTATCATTTTATCTTCACAAGTTATTAAGTTGCGGAAATCATCTGGGACGGAGAGCAAAGAGAAGAGAGATAGAAATGTCAATCAAGAAAAGTGAGTCATAGGGTATAACACGAATAAACATGTAACACGTTGCAAAGACTTTGGGGAAATCAACTCAGGGAGATTTCACTGTCATCTCCCTGTTGTAATGGCCGATATAGAAATCACAGGATTACGTAATACCGATCGTCATTGTAATGTTCGCATATATTTAAGGAAGTTGTGATAGACCAGGATATTCAAATTGCATTTTTTGTTTAAAGAGACCGACACCGATCCGACAACAGACCGAAGAAACGGTTTACGTTTTACAAGAATTGGTCGGTTTAGATTCGGTGTGGAGTCGGGTTAGCGGTGTGCGTCACAACAACAACACCGACTCGAGACCGACAATAGAACAAACAAGAAATTACATAACCTACAATGGTACTAAAATTGGTCGGTTTGGAGTCGGTTTCTTGGTGTGACTTATACCTCTTTCCAACGTGACCGACTCGTGACCGTCAACAGACCGAGTAAGCTTTTACATTGGGTTGACTGAAATAAATTGGTGAGTATAAGGTATGGCCGTAGAGCAATCGTCGCCGGAGCGTGTGTTATATCATACAACCAAGCACTAATGACTCGGAAGATAACCCACATCATTGTTTTTGCTATAAATACGTATAAAGCCATACTTTTCTTTCTGATAAAATTTGGTCGGTGGGATTTAAGGAGGAAGTCCCCCTCGATCCCCCGATTTTTTTTCGGCGTTTGACCCCCCGTTCCCGACAGAATTATAATTATAATTTTTGTTGGTGTAATGTACCGGCGATCTGCTTACTTTCGCAACATTTGGTGCATATCCAAGATGACGTGAATTTTTTGAAGGCTTTGGGGATTAACCCGATATCGACGGTGAATGGCCAATGTAACTATGGGATCGACGGGGTGACACTTTCGGAAAAGGCTGTTTGAAAAAATGAAATAACGTGTGATAATCATCGTTATCAAACGATTAGCAAAAGCCATCAAGTTGGAGTGACCCATACCTGAGATTCCCGTTGTAGTAGGTGGGCATGCCGAAGTCGTCTCAGTCGTCATCGCGGCCGTTTCCGTCGTCATCTTTGCCGTTTCCGTCGTCATCATGGCAGTTGCAGTCGTCATCGTGGTCGTCTCAGTCTTCATCGTGGTCGTCTCAGTCGTCATCGTGGCCGTTTCCGTCGTCATCATGGCAGTTGCAGCCGACGTCGTGGCTATTTCCATCGTCATCGTGGTCGTTGCAGTCGACATCCAATAAGTAAATGAAGACGTCAGTGAAGACCACATCGACGATGATTGCTGTGTCGGTTCCTGTGTTGTGGAAATGGAACTGGTGCTCGTCGAATCAGATCGATTGTCTGTCACGTTTGAGGCATGAAGTACCGAACCCGTAGTCATTTGGTCAGCTGTATGAATGTAAAAAAAGGCACAAATAATAGCGTAACGTGCTTCAGAAACCACTTAGACTACATGGGTGGTATTCTCATAAGTTAAGCCGGGACTAAGTCCAGACTAAACAAGAATTTTAGTTCACACTTCTATGGAATGCTAGGTTTCATCTTCCTACTTCAATATTCATGACAAAGATAATCTACCAAAAACTTTGTTGAAATTCAGTTCATACTCATATTATCTTTTTCTTCCCATTTCATTGCAAAATTAATTTTTTGAACACTTTTCATTGAAGGATTAAAATAATCTGTACAGGGTAAATTAGTTTGCAACAGGCACTCCATAGAAGTGTGAACTAACTAAGTACGCGCTAACTTAGTACGCGCTACCGGAATACCACCCAATGTCTATATAAACACAACCTTTTGTTCCGCGTTAAAGGTAAAGACCAGTATTGGAAACGCCCCAATTTCAAAAAATGAAATGGAAGCTCTCATTACCAATCATGTGAAAGAATATGTTTTGACTAATACATGATTATAAAAAATTTGCCGGGAAACCGCCTACTAATTCATATATTTGGTAAATTTGTTTCTCTCATGGTCTGTGAGAGATATAGGGTAGTCCCATATACATCTTTCTGTGTATAGTGCTTGTAACTTTACGAAGAATGGGCCAAATTTCTTATCATTTTGATGATTCCAGAACCTTGCAGATGCTAGGTGCTAGATGATCAACCTTTTCTGATCGATTTCACAACGTTTCTTTCACAATGCAATCGCATGACCATAACTGGTCTTTACCTTTAACAGTGATTCGCATTGAAAGTTGTTTGAAATGGACCTGCTCATTAAAAAAAACTCCTGTCTCTAAAAATCATGTTTCTTGTCTCCCTTGAATGGACTTTATATACAGGTTTCACTGTAGTGGGTTCTTGTCTACCTTTGATACTCTGACTGCTGTCAAGGTTTTCTTTTTGAGTTAACATACCCATCACACCGCCAAACTGACTCCAGAGTTAATACCGACCGACAGATGTATGGTCATTTTTGTTCGGTCGGTTGTCGGTCTGGTGTCTGTCTTGTTGGGTGAATGAGGTTTAATAAGAAACATGCCTGGACCTGGACCTGTGAATGGACAATATCTGTCGAATCATTATGTCTTATATCTAATTTCTTTAAATGCACCCCATACCGCACGAATATCTATGAATAAAACCTATATAGTTTATTATACTAAAATAGCAAATGTGAAATATTCATGTCGGTGCAGGCCTATGATTCAAACCGAAAACTCAACAACAAAAAAGGGTATTAGTTCCAATGCAAACTAATAGAATAAGAAGAAAAGGAAAGGAGAATAAAATCAACTTTCTCCAGATGTACCTATTGAGCAGTCTTTTCCGGAGAATCCCTCTGGACAGTGACAGAGATACGCTTCCATCGTCTCCTCACACCATCCATTCATACATGGTCCAGAAAGGCAATCTATAAATAAATAGAATTTAAGAGGAGTAAAATAATATCTAGGAGACCGATATCTATGCATTTGTCTTGATATCCTTAAATGTTAGACAAAATTGTGTATAGGGCGATCTGTACAATGCTTCCCTCACGAAAATTTTCTTTAATTCTGGAATTACACGTTTTTTCAAAACGTTCATGATCCCTAAACACAAATTTCCCACACCAAACATGAAATAGGATTCATAATTTGGAAATGAAAAAGGGTATATTATTACGAAAGTTCGTAATTCCGAAAAAGTTACAGGGCTATTTAGAATTACATGTATTCATAATTATAACTTTTTTCATTTCGGAATTAGGAAACTTCGGGAAAAAATGAAATTGAAACTATAATTTTATGCCTCATCCTGAAATGAAAATTCTTTGAAATTACCAATGACTAATGGTTATTTCTTGTATTATTATTGATCAGTAGTAAAAGATGTAACTTAATAACGTACAAGGTTAGGGTTAGTGTTAGGGTTAAGTATTGTGTTGGTTCCGGTGAACCGACATTTGCCCCGGTACTTCTGCTCTGGGCTTGATTTCGTCAAAGTATAGGGATAGGGTTGGGGACTTGGGGGTTACAGTTGTGTGTTTATAAGAGAAATTTGAGAAATAATGTATTAAGATTATCATATGCTTAAATTTGAAGGATAATATATTTAGATTATTACATGATAAGTCTTGAAGGAGAATGTATTCAGATTATTACATGATAAATCTTGAAGGAAAATGTATTCAGAATAATAAATGATGAATTTTGACAGAGAATGTATTTAGATTATTACATGATGAATTTTGAAAGATAATGTATTCACATTATCTATCACGAACGCTAAGTATATCCGGACACCTACCCCTGGACATCCATCCCGGATAACCACCCCCAGTCATATACCCTCTATGACAACTACCCCCTATACTACCCCCTAGTGCAACCACCCTCTAGGACGACTACCCCCCCCCCTCCCCCAGGGACAACTACCCCTGGACAACTACCCCCTAGCCAACTAACCCTAAGACAACTACCCCCTAAGACAACTACCCCCTAGGATGGTTGTCCATGCGTAGTTTTCCTAGAGGATGGTTGCCGTAGGGGTTGTTGTCTGGGGGAAGTTATCCGGGTTGCAGTTGTCCAGGGGTAGTTGTCCTAGGGGTTAGTTGTCCGGGGGTAGATGTCCCGGGGCTAGTCGTCCAATAGAGGGTGGTTGCCCTAGGGGCTTTCCTAGGGAGTAGTTGAATGGGGGTGGTTACCCGGGGGCTGGATGTGCAGGGTGTAGGTGTCCTATAGAACCAATGCTAAGACTTTCAAAAATCAACCAAAGACACTCACAAAAGTGTTTGGAACCTCTCACAATGTGCGAACATGACAATAACATATGACATGACCCTAACATAATTTCCATAGGGAATACAATAGGGTATTGAAATCTCCCTTCACTTGATGTCTTTGCGATCTTATCAGTTCTAACAAAATTTGGAAAGATTGTGTTAAAACTATATCATACGATGAAGCTTGGTGATAAAAAAGGTTGGTAACAACTATGAGAATCGAAACTTTTCAAAGGATTTGAATGAAATCTTGATTAAATTGCTTTTACAAAGACGAACTTGGTGAACATATTCAACTGAGGCACATCTAGTGAGACGAAATCAAACGAAATTTGATGCAAATGGATGGATCATCTTGACACTGACGAGCTATCAACCCAATACAAATTTCAAATTACCTAATTCCCTCGGGCAATTTGCACTTTGCAAGATTCGTGTAAAGAAAATATTAAATTGACGAAATGATTTAAGAAATGAATTTGAAACTACTATCGCAGAATGAGCGAAAAATACATGAATATACATATATATATATATATATATATATATGTTTTTTCAAATTGAAATATGAACAAATGATTTCTTCCATTACATTGACTGTAGATGAATATTTAACATAGCTCAGTGTAATTGTTTATAAAGTAGCTTTTTTTTTAATTTGCCGAACCATTTTAAGAGTCTATACCTTATATCAGAATTGCTGATTGGCGATTGCTATTATGGGCGTATCCCTAAGTATCAATACAATCGACGGCCTTGTAATATGCTATTAGTTGCATGCCATGAAAAGAATATCCAAATGACAAGGGCCAAAAACATGTAATTTATAAGATAGAAGCAATTAATCGGCGCTTTTCAACAGAAACCACTTTTGCGATTGGTGGAATTCTATGAAGTGAAAAAGAGCAAATTAACTTCTCGATCGGATCAGTATACTTCGCTGATGATATTCCTGTTATTTCGCATATCATGCATGAAGAAATATATGATGAAAATGTCGCTATTGAAAGGCTGCAATTGGATAATTGGCCTAATGAAAAAAAACATGGTAGCAAATTACGGCAACAAGTGGAACAAATTAAAAGTACAACATAAAACTGTCAGCTCTGAGGAGTCAATCAAATTAATTAAATAGAATAAAATAAAATCAGGCCGAGCGTGAACAAAACAAGTATAATAGGACCCTTTACTTTTGCAAAATACTCGAGGTCGAGAGGGAGAGAGAACTAGAGTAAGAGAGAAAGAAAGAAAGAGAAAAAGGGGATGTATGGCTTGAATTTAGGCCATGAAGACCGGTTCTTTTACATAAAGAAATTATTTCAAAAATGAATTTGAAACTACTATCACAAAATGAGCAAAAAATACATGAATATATACATAATTTTGTTCAAAATTGAAATATGAACAAATGATTTCTTCCATCACATTGACTGTAAATGAATATTTAACATAGTTCGGTGAATTTTTTTTATCGTAGCTTTTTTAAAATTTGCCGAACCATGTTAAGAGTCTATACCTTATATCAGAAACGCTACAAGTATCGATACAATCGAGACGACGTCCTTGTTATATGCTTTTAGTAGCATGCCATGAAAAGGGTTTCAAAAATGACAGGGGCGAAAAATATTCAATTTATAAGATAGAAGCAATTAATCGGCGCCTCTCAACAGAAACCACTTCTGCCATTGGTGGAAGTCTATGAAGTGAAAAAGAGCAAATTAACTTCTCGATCGGATTAGTATACTTCGCTGATGATATTCCTGTTATTTCGCATATCATCCATGAAGAAATATATGATGAAAATGTCGCTATTGAAAGGCTTCAATTGGATAATTGGTCTGTTTACAAAAACATGGTAGCAAATTACGGCAACAAGTGGAACAAATTAAAAGTACAACATAAAACTGTCAGCTCTGAGCAGTCAATCAAATTAACTGAAATATAATAAAATGAAATCAGGCCGAGCATGAACAAAACAAGTATAAAGACCCTTCTCTTTTACAAAATACTCGAGGTCGAGAGGGAGAGAGAACTAGAGCAAGAGAGACAGAAAGAAAGAGAGAAAGGGGATGTATGGCTTGAATTTAGGCCATGAAGAACAGTTCTTTTATATTAATGTAGTAATGGATGTACACTGAATATCAATAAGGTACAGGGTTAGGGTTAGTGTTAGGGTTAAGTATTGTGTTGGACTATTGCTCTAGGCTTGATTACGTCAAAAGTATAGGGCTAGGGTTAGGTTTACAATAGGGTTAAAATTAGGTTTAGGTTTTGGACTAAATATATGTATATTTTTAGGTCTAGGTTGAAGATAGGAACTCGGCTATTGTATTAAACTGCCGGGGGGGGGGGAGGGGTATTGCAGGAACATGCGTTGAAGAACTGTGCGACCGGGATATCACAAGCATCCTTATGTCAGAAATGACATCACTGTCCTTGTGTTAAGATCTTGTGTGATTACTACCTGCACGGGTTTGGTTGTGGTAGTGTACGTAGAGTTGTGGAAAGTGTTATTTTATACAGTGCGACCCAGAAAAAACGAAACCGAGAATTATCGATGTGTTATCATAACTTTGTCACATTTTTAATTAATAAATGACACATATTTGGAAAGCTGAGATCCCCCTCTTTCATTTGATGCAACTCATATGATGCATATTTCACGCATGAGTGATTGAAATGAATTTGAAGAGAGGAAAGCAAAAAGTCATTTGGCGGACGGTATCACATTTCCAGAAAGTTGAGTTTCTGCCCTTTCATATGACACCTCAATCAAATACAAGTGATAGGTAGAGGTTTAATGCATTTTACTAATGAAAAGGGTATCGAAATGACGTGGGCGAAAAAAAAAGCAATTTATAGGATATACAAGCAATATATTGGAGTCTGGCTCCTGTCAACAGAAGCCAATTTCGCGATTGATGGAAACATATGAAGTGAAACATAACGATTTGATACCTCGATTGTTTTCATCTAATTCACTAATGACACTGGTATTTCGCAGATCATGCATAAATAAATGAATACAATTTCACGGCCGATCATTAACAAAAGGTACAGGGACCCTCCTCTTTTGCAAAATACTCCAGAGAGAGGGGGAGGGGGAGAGAGATAGAGAGATAGAGAAAGATAGAAAGAGAGAAAGTGGATGTTTGGTCAGAATTGCGCGATGTCGATGGCATGAAATGTTTGCCATTAAAGTGACATCCTTCGACTTGGTTTCGAGCCCACGGCTCTACCAATGAGCCATCGCCCCCCCCCCCCCAACTCCGGGGTCGGAATGACCGCATGCGTGTTACCAAAATGTCCGGTAAAGGGGTACTTTTCGTGCGAAAAAGTCCGGCCCGAGAATTGTAAAAAAAAAAGGGGTGTATTTGACTTTTCACCCGGAGATTTCTTTAAAAAGGGGGTGTTTTTCTTTTTTTTTCTCTCATCTCTTTGGACTCCTGAGAAATTATTCCGAATTTAGGGGGGTACATTGAGCATTTTTCCGTATTTAAGGGGGTCTCCAAGGCAGGAAAAGCCCGCGAAAAGCCCGCGAAAGGGGGTTCAGAAATGTTGGCAGTCCTCAGATAGGGGGTGCTTTCAAAAAGAGGGAACGAGCATATGCGTACCCTAAATAACACTGAGTGGGGGGGGGGGGTCGCGCCCCTTACCTGGCCTTCGGCAAATTCGGTAACCAGCCGGTATGTTGTCCCTCCGGCAGCTCTTCATCAGTGGTCTGGGGATCAATTTAGGGATCTTGATTATCATGGAACCGTTGCTCAGCCGGAAGTCACCACAGGGAGGGTGGATGGGCAGGGAATAATTCAGTTCCATATCCCCAAAGGAACTGCGTTGGCAGGAGGTCGGGGTCTTTGCTGAGGTGAATCCACATACTGAAAATGATAAATGGATGAAATGAGGCACTGATGACATAAATTTAACAAGATCATTGCAGCCTTATGTAAAACTCACCAGGGACGTTTCGATCTCATCAACTAAAATCAAACCAACCAACAAACTCATGTTCAAAATATAGCAGACTTCGAGATCATAAATTCAAATATGATCCGAATTATATTTGGCGCCATATTTTTGTTTAAAACAGACTTTCAAAGGCACAGGCTCTTCCTACTTTTTATGCGCCATTGAGCATCTCCTGGATACGTGCGCAGTATGAAATTTGAAGCCATTATTATCAACTTTGCCAACATAATAAATATATGATATGATATTACATTTATCAAGCGCATTTTCATGTCAAAAAGCGCATAAACAAGGATTACAAACAATACAAAGAGAGAACATTAGGATAATAAGCTTAGTACGTCAATTACAAACAGAGGAATATTACGACAAGTTTAAAAGAAAAGTTTTCAGACACTTTTTGAAAACTGTAAGAGTATGGCAATTCTTAAGTAAAGCAGGTAAGGAGTTCCAGGTTTGGGGGGCAATAACGGAAAGAGCCCTATCCCCTATCGGATGGTATTAAGTTTTTTTATACTACTGGCTGATGGTGCGAAAGGATTAGATCACCTAGGTATGCTATGGGGCCCGATTATTGAGACACTTGTAAGTTAGAGTTAAAGATACTATGTCCCTTTTGCAGCCAAAATCAAATTCTGTAGAACTTTGCAGGAATTATGAAGACGTTATGTACGTCCTAACTGTGAAATTTAAACTTTAGCAGTGTCCTAATATTCAAATTATGCAAGAAAACCCGTTTAATCGCTAGACTTCACTGTCGGACACTATTGAGTGACTGACTGGCTTTTTTTTCTTGATTGGTAATAACATACATAAAAATGAGCTGTAAAGGGTACATGAGCATTTGTCTACATCAATAACACACTTCTTGTAATGGCCAATTATTAAACTGAGTGAATCTTAGTATAAAACGTACGACCATTCGGTACAATGGTCTGAAAATCAGACTATTACTTACTGGCTCTATAGCTCTTAAGTCTATTCGACATCTTATAGTTGTTATTTTTCCACTTAAAGACTTTTTCAAGCCCCCGTTCTAAATTAGTATTATCTTTCAAATGCCGTTGGAATTTAACCTTTTCATTTTGGGGGCCTGCAAATGGGACATAGTACTTTTAAGGTCTTACGTATGATGCTTTATTTTGGGGGAGTTGAAGGGAATTAAGATCTTTAAGCGATTTACCATGGAGTAGGGAATTACAATGAACTAGATGAGACAAAACAGGAGATCTTACAACTGCCTAAGAGGAATCTTTATCTTCCATGAACGTATTGAAAGTGGAAATTAACAGATTTGGATACAATCGGAACATGATCTGACATATTCATACTGTCAGAAGTATTGATTTTCCAAAATTTGTTACTCAGGAAGGTCTTTCCTTTGTAGAGGGTCGATGACGATATATTATTAATAGTAAATGTTGAGTAGTGCGCAAAGGGAGAAAACAAATAAGAGAAAAACTGAAAAAAAATTCTACAAACGGGAAAAAAATGTCTCAATATAATGACTTAATTGCCAACTTGATATTCGCACAGATTTAGTGATTTCGTATTTCAAATATTCATTATATACTTTCTTATTATTGGTCCGGTTTATTTCAACTATCGTCATTCTCTTTCTCTTGTTTTTTCTGCTTTCATACAAATTAACTCATACGATTTAATCAGACACCAAGGCTACAACATACGATCTGAGGAAAAACAAATGGAATATTACAGCTTTTAAAGTGCTACTAACCTGATGTGAAGAAGACTACAGTTACGATGAGAATCATGACTAAGATCTTATGATGCCGGACTTTAAAAAGAGTCTGCTGGATGAGAGCGGAGAGACCGTGGATAAATGGAATCTATATGGGTAAATCAGTGAGAGAGAGAGAGAGAGATGTAATTTTTCTTGTTATAATATAGGAGGCGCGATAGCTCAGCTGTTGGTAGAGCAATAGTGTCGTAATCCGGCGACCCGGGTTTGGAACCAAGTCGATGCGCTAGTGCCCTTTGGTAAGGATTTAATCCTCATAAGCAGGACCCTCGGAGGGGACCTAAAGCCGTTGGTTCTCTGGTTGCTTTCTAACAAGGCTAAATACACCACTAAATATATCTCCTACGGTTGTTTCATTATTTCTTCTTCACTTCTATATATTTATATTGCATTTGTCCTTGGTCTAGTTAGTAACTTAAAAATTGCTTTAATAATCAATTTGGAATTTATAAGAATAATATTGGGCAGATATAATCGTGTATAATCAAAAGCAGAGACACTGTCAACATATTACTTTTTGGTTAGGAGTTAGAGAAGAAAGATATACATGTACTTCTATGTCGTGAATAGATGAAAATCTTTAATTCAAATACCCTATGGCTTTCTTCCAATTACGTCCATACAATATATGACATGCTTTGCGGCAATATATTGCAAAGTGTGTGCTATTGCAGTCAGCTTGTGATTACCATTTACAATTGCCAGCATACTTCATGCGAGGCTCGTTAAAAATGTACTTGATTGTGAATAAGACAAGTGCAAAATACCACAGGAACGAACATCAATAATGTAGAGATTGAGTACAATGAACCGATTGGACCCAATTTTGAATGAACGTAAGAGCTGTCATTTCATACACTCGCAGTTCTAAAGCTATTGTTAAGTAAGCACTCTAACATAGACAGTGGGGTAGTCACAGGGGGTACGAGGGCACGTACCCTCAATCGAATGGCGAAATATGATAGAAAAATGGGGAAACGAGAGAAAGTGGGTGGAGATGGGTAAACAGGGAACTAGAAAAAGAAGATGATATGACTGTGCGTATCCGGACACCTACCCCCTGGACATCCACCCCCGGATAACCACCCCCCAGTCAACTACCCCCTAGGACAACTACCTCCTAGGGCAACCACCCTCTAGGACGACTAACCCCGGGACAACTACCTCCGGACAACTACCCCCTGACAACTACCACCTGGACAACTACCCCTAGGATAGTTGTCCGGGGGTAGGTGTCCTGGAGAATGGCTTTCGTAGGGGTTAGTTATCCGGGGGTAGTTGTCCTTTGGGGTAGTTATCTGGGGGTAGTTGTCCGGTGGTAGTTGTCCTAGGGGGTAGTTGTCCTAGAACCGCAAGTATTGATTAACGACAAAATACGTTAGTGCTTGCCTGGGATTAGAACCCTCAACCTTGAATTGGGAGTCAAGCGAATGCACCACTATACCACAGTCATGGTTCTAGGACAAGTACCCCCTAGGACAACTACCCCGGACAACTTTATTAAAGCCGATGAGGCTTCCCTGGGTAAACAAACTTATCATTATTATATTGTAAACACTCAATAAATTCTTAATCACCCCCAGAATCAATCAAAAGCCTCGGTCACAAATGCCATTACGAACTGCTACGAACGCCGTACGAACGATTTTCAGACAATGGAAAAACAGGGAGATTCGTACGAACCTTTGTGACCGTAGCAAAACTAGAAACATATATAGAGAGAGCACCAAATCAATCAAATGAAAAACCTAAAAATGTATAATTATGTTGCTGGGCCAAAGGTACTCAAAATAAAAGATGTTGACACGAAGAAGTCCAAAAGTGTTATAAATTAATGGCCTACACAGCAGACCTCACTTTCTATGTTTTTACAAATATATTCAAGTATATTCAAATAATACTGAGAGATAACCGGTAAAAACAGGAAATGAGAGAAAATGAGCTACACATAACAAAGTAGAGATTTGAGGTATAGTCATCGATCAATTAGCCATAAACAGAATTGATTCCAATACAAAATAATTATACGAATGAAATCGGTGACCACTATTCAGTCTTCAGCTTTGCATATCTCATCATATTGCCACACTGTCGGCTGCACACAATAAGGCTGTTACCGCTATTGTCAATATATAGCTGTTAGACGGCGATATTCTATCCATGAATTAAAAATCAATTCCATTTTTGCCACACTTATCATCTCTGATTAGCACAAGCGGTTAATATTAGAAAGAAAATCCGATTCATTTTGGTCAGCGTATCGGGATGATCTATGAACCGTCCTTTCTAGGTCCCTTTTGAGAGAAAAAAATGAATAGAAGCGCTGAAGTACAACATATTTGCAAGGTTCTCGAATATGGACATCGCTCATGACAATAACAAGTCATGGTAAAAACATGGACACGTGCATATTTTCTTGTTAAACATGGACTCTTTATCAAACAAACAAACAAGTCTATGCTTACATTGAACAATTCAGTTCGTCGCTATGATACAAGAAGAGTAAAAATAGAATCCCTCAGGGGATGTTGCTATTAGACAGCTCTTTCATCGCTATGATGCAAGAAGAGTTTTTTTGTTTGGTAAATCCGTCAAGGAATGTTGCTATTTTTTTCATATTCAGACACCATGAATCAGTTAATAGGATTGTGTACCATGTGAAATCAACTCAGTCGAAGTTATTTTTTTAAAGCGTATTTTAGAGAATGCAAGTTATAGTTTGATTTCTTCTATATAAGAAAAGTCATTTCGTTTGTGTCACTTAGCTTGTGGTGTTGGAACTTTATCTCTCTTAATTATTCTTTAATTGAATTGAAATTATCAACAATTTATACAAACGTGTACAAATAAACTGTTTTCGTCAAATTCCACTAATTATATGTTTTTATTCAAAGTTACCTTGATATTACCGCCTTTGTCTGTTATTTTTTTCCGTGATCTTCATTCCATTCCATTCAACATAAATTATATTTCACTTGTGGAACTATATAACATGATCATACAGGAACATAAATAAGTAAATGAATTTGAAGCACTGGAGCTTTGGTAAATTATTACATTGATTTAATGATATAATAGCATTTAATTATGATATGGTAACCCTAATTACTACATATCCAACACACACCCACAACGTTCATTGCCATTGTTCAATATATTTCTTGTCGTTTTTGTTATCACTGTTTGCAATACAGATTTAAGTTTGTAATGACTTGCTGAGAAAACTAAAACAGCCTTGCGGCTAGGGGCAGGTTTTTATATTCGTTTGTGTGTTGGATTTTATTTCTGCTTTTTTCAACATAATAAAAAGTAATATACAAACTAGGTACTATTATATATTATCGAAATAGTCAAAGTACATATATAACCATATCATAACATGAGTCGATTAAATAATTATACTTTCAAAACAACTGATAGTTGAAAAATCGTTTTAAAATTGAAAATTTCAGGAGGCCGCCATCTTAAGCTAAAGCTTCGACATGAACATGATGGTTGCCTCAGGAAAGGAATATATGTGGGCAACAAACCTATTATATATAAATATAATCAGAAACAAATCATTACAGTAAGCATTATAAGTACTGTTGTATTATACAGTGCGTCCCAGAACAAAAGAAACCGAGAATTATCGATGTTTTATCATAACTTACTCACAATTATAATTAATAAGTGACACATACATGTAAAGCTTAGATCCTCCTGTTTCATTTAATGCAACTCATATGATGCATATTTCAAGCATGGGTGATTTAAAACGATTTGAAGAGAGGGTACCAAACAGTAATTTGGCGACGGTATCTGAATTTCAAAGAGAAAATCACATTTCTGTCCTTCATATGGCACCTCAAAAAGGAAAAATGAGCTAGGAATAACACAGTTCTCTTTGTGTAAAGTAATGCTTTCATTTCCATAATTTGATTAAACGAATTCGTTCACACTGGCTGCCTTCCGTTTCATTAATGCATGAAGTCTTTCGCCTCTTTGTGCATGGCTGATCGTCAACTCTGTTTGTGAAAACGAATTCGTTTAATCAAATTATGGAAATGCAAGCATTACTATGTTACCATGTTAAAAGGGAAGTCCGCCCTGACATTAGGTTTGTTTTAATAGGAGCAGGTAAATGAGAGAAACAGGTCAGTGGAAGTTTGAGCAAATTTCGATTACAAATAAGAAAGATATGAATTTTTGAAGTAGCGATCAATCAAACACAACTTGGCAGTGAGCACTTAGACACATCCTGCGAGCTCCTCTGTACATAAAATTTGCACTTACTTGCATTCTCTTTGTTATCATGACGGCATAGATTTGTTGCCATGCAGGGGTTGGATAGAAACATATTTGCAGTTATTATATTTAGGATGCATATATGCTTTAAAAATGAATAATATTGCTTAGTACGGAGCAAATGGAAGGGGACTCGCAAGCTCTATGTGAATACATGCCTATTTTAAAAATATGTGTTTTTATACAATTTTACATTTTCTCTAATATGTGTGTTTGGATAGATAAATCGCAAAGTGTTGTCTCATTTATCCCACGATGAAATAAACTTACTCTCATTATACTAGACATTATACTCGTCTAACATGAAGTCTACCATAGGAACATGACACACCTCTTCAAGTGCAAACATATGTAAATAATTCACATCCGTCCGTCGTTTCCGCTATAAGAACATCTTTTAAAACACTGACGGTAAATTTAAACGCCCCAAAACCTTTGGTGCATATTGCAACATTTCAGTTTTGACTTCGCCCCATATTCACGTGTACTGCACATTCCATGATTACATAATCATTACATATTGGGCGTCATTGTAAAGGAAAACAAGTATGGCATTTCAATGATACTACATTCAAGTATGATAATAATAACAAGCTAGATATTGGCACCAAAACCTGAATTGCAGAACCTTTTTAAGGGGGTTTATATACAATGTTGCCCACAAAGTTGGAATATCAATATTTCCCATACCTCTTTTTATGAAATGATTGTGACACTATATTCATTCTGTAAAGATAACATTTGTGTTTTCTCACAACGTAATTGATCAATCTCTACAACTCTTTTATATAATAA